TTACCCTCCGTCAACCACAAAGACCCCTAAACTTTGCACATTGTGATAACAATATCCCAAACTTTGTTTTGATACCACCAATATCCAAAACTTGTACCAGTATTACAAAAATACGCTCTATCTACCACCAAAAGCCTTAAACTTTGCCCATTGTGTCACCAATACCCAAAAAAAAAAAAAATTGTGTCACAATTACCCTTAAACATGCACTAGTGACGAAGGGTGTTCTTGTTGGAATCGACTGGATATCATTTTAGTCCAAATAATAGTTTTTTTTTTGTGGTAGACAAAGATATTCTTGACATACTGGTACAAATTTGAAATTTGGGGTTTTTGATGACAAAAAAAAAATATGCGATATTGATATCATAGTCTGCATAGTTTAGTAGTTTTGGTGATACAAAAAAGATTTAGGGTAATAGTGTAACACAAAAAAAATTTCGCAGAAATTTGTCAGTGGACGCTCTTAGAGCACTTATTAAGTGACAAATTAAGGAAACATTATTGTTGCTGTACTAATGCTTATAATGAATAATGTAATCAGTGTTTCAAAAATTCAAAATTTTCTTATGAAGTATGTTTAAGGAGTGACCGAAGATACTTTTCAACAAGTCTCGATCACAGCAGTCCGTTCAGTGGGATCCAGGCGGGACCATGTGTGGAACACAGAAGGAAGTTGATGGCTGTGATGGACCCGGTTCCCATCAGGTCAGCCACCACGTTTGGATTGGATGAGCAAGACAGCGATCCTATGGTGATCCTCGGTTCACCAGCATCTGCGGGCCGAGGCGTCTTGGTCCAATGCCAAGATCGATCCGCGCAGAGGAAAGAAAATGGGAGCGCAAGATGCGACCGCCGATCGCGTCCGTCGTATTTGCCAAGCGCTTATGAGAATCGCTCCGGCACTTGGAGCGGTTGGGTGAATGATACTGGAAAACCAGCAACAGTTGCTGCAGTGATGACTGATGATGAGGCAAGTGAAAGGATTTCGGGGGGCGAAGAGCACACGTTCAGTGACGAGGCTAAGAGGGAGATGTGCATGGCGCTTGCCGATAATCCCAAATTGCCATATATGTGAATGTGAATGCGGATGCAAAGTATTTCGAACTCTCTCTTTCATTCATTTTACTGCAGATTCTCCTTTGCTAACAGCAACATAATTGTGTTACGTCAAGTTCATGAAGACCATTCTAAGTAGATCGTCTATCTATGCACCTGAAAATCTTCGGCCCGCTCTCAGTTTATCGATGAAAATGAAAACACATTGCCAAACTCATGGCGTGTGACTAAGCCTTCGAATAGTTGACATCATCATGCGTTTGATCTTTGAGCTTGTTACACCCTAACTCTCTTCATTTGAGAACCAAACCAATATATACTACAAGCAACGTCATATGGGTACATGAATCTACAAAACCAATCAAAAGACTAGGACACATCCTCCTCTCACTTCAGACCGTGAACAAAAACAAACATACGAGAGACCGTGAGATCAGCTTCACCTTTTTTTGTTTTTAACAGTTAATATCAAACACCATATTTATCACGAGGTCGATCGATATTTGGAGGAACAGCATATGCACAAGAATAGGCAAACAAGCGTCAATGGAAGAGCTCTGTCATCAGCAAGAAAGTCACAATCCCGATGACTACAACTGGCAGAGAATTAGTACTGAATCGGTAACCCGCACTTCGAAGCGGTATACTGGAAGGAAGCGAACACTCCTCCCCGTTGAAGAACACCTTTGAGGGGAACCCGTCGCCCCGCAGTATGTTAATGCCCGGAGTAGTTTTCTTCGTGAAAGATATGACCGACTGCTGCTTTCCAGGCACTCTCGGATCGACTAACGGGTTGGTTCCGTTGGTTTCACCTACCAGGAAATTCATTCCAGGTGTGCCTTGGAAGAAGATGGTGTCGTTAGTTTGCGGAAGCTTGGTTCCGTTGAAAGAATACACCTTTTCGTAGCCAGGGAAGGCTTTCTTCATCTGTATTGCCGCGAACCAGTCTTCGAAAGGGAAGTCGTCCCAATTGAAGAGCGTAATACGAGCTGTCCAGCCTTGCTTGTAGTCAGAGTTAATGTGCCAATTGAGGCTGACCCCGCAATTGTCCGGACATGGCATTGGGTTATAGACTGGATAGTGTTTGATCTTAGCCCAGGCTTTCGCTTTCGCTGTTCTGTTCTCAAACGGCACGAGAATAGCCTCCGGAGGAAGAAGCATTGCATGTGCTTTCGGGTTGCACCTATCGGTGTTGTCACAGCCACAAGCACAAGTATTGCAAGGGATGATTGACTCATTGTAATATGCCGAAAATGAAACGCAGCATCTGGACTCTTTAGCCTTCGGCCTCGTGATGTTACAACTCACTTGCCAGCTCGCAATTGCCGAAGATGTAGCTTGAAGCCCACTCGGGTCAGGAAATTCTGTTGGGTCCACTCTAATAGGTGCGCCGCACTTGTACTCTGGATTTATCACACCATCAATCTTCCACCTCTGCGGCGGAGTTAGAGCGGTACGGTTCATGTCCGGAGGGATCTTATAGACCTGCAATTGGAAGATGGACCTCGATTTGCTCTCGTCCATCAAAGCTGGGAGAAGAGTGCCGTTCCTACAACAGTATGGTAGTTTCCCAACTTTCGTGTCATTGGCTCTATCAGCAGGCAGGTCGGCGATGACGGGCTTCTTTTCGCAGTTCATGACCTGAGAGAAATCGAAGTCCTTGTAATATTGCCCCGCAACACCATAGATACACTCTGACGGGTCCTTTTTGTGGGTGTAGGCTCCTCTCATGGAGTAGATGAACTCTCCTCTCATCCATTCCCATGTCAAGTTCCAATGGTCAAGACGGCCTAATGGATGGTTGTTGTCCATCGTCACCTGGGCAAGATAGTTGCCCTCATAGGCTTGCAGTACGTCGTATGTGAAGGTGAGATCACCGTACTGGCGAGGCAAGAACTTGGTCTTCGTCTGCTTGGACTTGTGTTTCTTGTCCTTGACACAGCACATAAGCATTGTGTTTGTACCTGAGGGGAAAGAAATCAGAAAATTAAGGTCAAAACCCTGTGAACAAACCGATAACACATGATTCCCTTAATCTAAAGTACTCACCACGGCGACGAGCAGCAGGACACTTGTACCCATCATTCTCGAGCCGGATCTTCTTCGGCATTGGGACACCCGGTGGTTTTACGCCAAATTGGGTCCCTGTCAATTCAATCCTGGCCTGAATCTGATTGATATCCCCTGCTGTTTCAATAGAAGTCTTCAGATCGGCCTGCGGGTAACCAGCCAATGTAGTCCCGTTGTTCCCGACTTTCGCAGGCAAATCTTCTCCATCGATCGATACGGCTCCGCTCGCGCCCACCAGGATCTCGTTGTGCTGGAACCCTATGAACACCTTCCATGCCTTGAGCTCCTCCAAGCCCGCGTTCAACACCGTCATCTGCGACTTGAAGGCCCATGACTGCGCCGACGCGTTCTTCACGTGCGGGTACTCCTTGATCCTCTCGATGAAGTTGTACATGATGAATATACCGTCGCAGTCCTCCTGTTCCGGGGGAGGTGCGGCCGGCGTGGACTCGTCCTCGTAATCTTGGCCGTGACAAACATGGTTGATGCAAGAACAGAGCAAGATCAAGACCCAGACAAGTAGGAATACTTGCCTAGGCATCTTCATGCCTGCCCTTGCTTTCGATTATGTGCCCGACGGCTATAAACCTCGACACTGAAGGGTGGTTTGGTTAAAAGGAAGGGGGGATATGCTACCCGGCTAGAGCCGCGCATGAACGCGGCGAGGGAGAGAGAGAAAGAGAGGGCGTGGGGAGGAAAGGCCCTGTTTTTTGAGAAGGGCGTTGAAACGGGGTTGTAGAAAAGAGAGGAGAGAATGTGAGGACAGAGTCAGCAGAGTATTCTCTTCCTCTAGTTTTAGCGAGGGAATCGGGAAGAAAGAGAGAGAGAGAGAGAGAGAGAGAGAGAGAGAGAGAGAGAATATGAAGAGTGTTGTTTTCAAAAGTTCGTTGGTCGTTAACTAGGTGTCCTTAGGAAGGCGGGCAACAAGAACGCTGTTGTCTGCTTCTCCCTATGTCTTTTCTGGTCTTTCGGGCGTCGCCTAACATGTCAAATCAGGAAAATTCGAAAATTATCACAACCGCCTTGGTGGAAGAAATACTTCTCTTCCGTATACACGCTTGTACCCAAGAATGAATACGTAGAGCTAAATAACAGCTGCACCATGTGAGAGCTTGATACTCTGTTTCTTACGTATCAATAGCGATGATCTGAACTTGTATTAATAGATAGAAAATTACAAGATTATCCTAAATTGTTGATTGTGTTTTGGAAATATAAACATTCCAATCTGAAATGTATGACTTTTGTGAAATGTGCTTTCTATAATTCCCAAAGTACTGTTGATCTACGTATTCTATGGTCTCCGAGGTGCTTTGATTTTTTCTGTGTTCTTTTATGTTTGGTTACCTGGGTAGGGATTTTTCTGAGGTGTACCTAGTACCATTTCCAGCTTGGTACACTCACCTGAAGTGTGATATACATGATTCTTTTATATTTGGAGTTGGTAAATCAATGTTTCTCCTAGACGTGCCCAACGATTAGATTGCACAAGAATGACCTAAAACTACGTAGACATGAACATTCATATCCCGTACATACGTGTTATTCTGAGTTTTTCATGTTTCTGGTGTTTGTAGCATGGCGTAGTCCTCTAATTCACAAGTATCCAAGCAGTTCCAAGTGCCTGAGCATCTCTCATTGAGAAAAGATCTGGGACAAGCTTAAGTCGATACTCGAATAAACTATAACATTGCAGACTAACATTGTAATGTCTAGAATACGATCTAGAAGAAAGGGCTCAGGAAAAGACGAATTGAGAAACTTTGGGCACGCACAAGAGGAAAACTATTGTGGGAGAGCAATGATCTTTGAATCTACTTCGGTCTTCAAAGAGGTGGAAATGTATCCATTTAGATGGATGAGAACAAAAGTATAACAAACTAGGCATCCCATGCCTGATTGTGAAAGATTCTCAATCCATGGATTCAAACCAAAATCTACCTATCTGAGAATTTATGAGACCTGACTAACAAAGAAGACACAACTGGACATGAAAAATACAAATTACACATTTGATCAGCTAATCTCATTCACTTTTCTGCCAAAAAGAAAAAGGTTAATCTTGTTTGCCCCTGTACTGGAAAGAGTGTTAGTTGACAGTGATCTCTTCCATGCTACTGATTTCCTCCACAAACTGGGCTTTAGGCTCCAGATCAATGAACTGGTTGGACTTGCTTGCTAAATGTGAGATGCTAACCCTGCCCTCACGCTTAATGTAATCTGCAACAGCTTTCATTTCTTCTAATGATATGTATATATATTTCCCTCTATCGTCCATGACACCAGAAAGGCGGCCTAAGTATAAACAACAAAACTCGATCAATTGCCAGATCTAGCCAAAAAGGCAAAAACAAAAAAAAAAAAATTAATGGCAGCATAATTAAATGCACCAGTCATTAGTATTAAATGATTGAAGAGACCAAAAAACCTTGCACGTGATATGAGTTCCACGTTTCAGAAACATAACTATCAAGACATGTTTCAATAGTGCATCTTTGCTATAGACAAGATCAATGAGGAGGGTAAGGGAAGTCACTACGCACCCATGCTTTCCAGGGATGCTATCCTATTAATACATTCCTGCAGCAAACCAAAAAGAAGATAATTGAGAATGATCAAAACAGTTGAACCCCTAAAAGAGACTGTAAAAAGATATTTTCATTGTACGGAAGGTTTGAACACCAACTCTAGCAACTAAACCACAAAGATATATTTTCTTGATGACCAGAAGAAGCATTCTATTCTAATTTCTTGCAACATTCACAGTGATAACAGGGAAAGCATGGGCAGTCAAACCTGAGTCCTTAGCTTAAACTCTGCAGCAAGATCTTCTAGGGGAATACATTTGTGCTTCTGAAAGATAATTCGATCACAAAAATAAACACAGAAGCAAGAAATAATGTTATGTAGCGGTGGCCAAGAGATGTAGATACCAACTGGAAAAAAAAGTTAAAAGTACCTTTATGTATTCGACAAAATCAGAAAGCAACCCCTGACTTCCATCTTGGACATCATTCTCTGTAGTACCTTCAGCATCAACTGAGAACTCCCCTTTCCACTTTTCAAAATCTAATGCAGCAGCTTCCTCCTCCCTGGCCTTCCTAGCGTTGGCCTCTTCCTCCTGTATACATCATAAATTTCTAACAGGTTATCTACTCCACATATATCTAGCGAGTCATGCCAAGAAATAAGACAAAATGGCAAGGTGACCAACTCACCAGCATTCGTTCCTTTGCCTCACGCTCCTCATCCTTTCTCCTCCGCATTTCTGCGTAGCGATCTTGTTTTGTTTTCCTTGAATCGCGTGCAACCTCATCAGCCTTCAGAAAAAGCTCAGCATGGTCAGAAAGCAGTCATGCTCATAAATCATAGGGAAGAAAGAGTATGATATCAAAAGAATACACCCAATTGAATTATAGGTTTGACACATTACCCTGCTAATATATTGTACAAAAATTCTGTTTTCAAGTAATTAGACAAATCTTTCTCAACTCTAAAATTATCCTAATCCCCAAAAAAAGAATTGCAGTGGAATATATCCTTGAAGTACAGAAACTAAACGACCCACTCCAGCTCCTCGAAGGGTGGGAAAGATGACTATTTAGAACTTACTGTGTAAAACATCACCTCAAGGAGGTACCAGAGACTTTTCTTTCTTTATAAGACAGAAAGAAATCAAACATGCTCATATCATCAAGAGCTCCAGAAGATACTTCCAAAAAGTGGAGCATGAAAAAAAAAAAAAAGACCATTTAGATGGAAGATCTGCTTCAACCTGTCTTTGGGCTTCCCGCTCTTGCCGCCTCTTTTCTTTCTTCTTTGATGCTTTAGCCTCATGATAGTCATCAGCCATAGCATCTTCATCACTTCCATCAGCATCGTCTGCATATGATAAACGCCCAGTTAAGTTTTAGCAAAAGAAGTCCAAAAGAAAAACCAAAGATGTATAGACTAAGGTTCTGATTGTTATAGTTTATTAAAAGTAAAACTAGCCTGGCTTTCCAAAAATTCTGACTTCAAATAAGTAGCTTTCACAAAATACATCCGATCCATCCCAAGATCATTATCATTGAAGAAACATAATTGCTCCATCTTACCACTTAAGCTTCTACCAGAAATTGCCATCCATAAATAATTAGAAAATTTTGCTAAAGATGAGCATAAAGAAATGAAGAAAGGAGGCAGATGGAAGAAGCATAAACAAACCTTCTACAGTTGCTTCTGGCACCGCAGATGAAGTGCTAGCCCCAGAAGGTGGTCTCCGACGCATCCGACGGGTCCCAGATGCACGCACCACAGTTTCTCTCTGTCGGACCTGATTCACAAGAGGAGCACCCGAATTCCCATAGTCAAAATGACTGGACAGAAAATATACTTGGATGGACATAGCCCTAGCGACAAACGATTTTATCCATCTCAAACGCACTCCCGCATGCAGAGAAGAATTGGAAACAAACCTGATCTTGTTCTTCATGCGTATCCGTTGATGGAGAATCCTGCCGCCGCTTCCAAATATACAGCGGAACGAGCGCCATAACAAGAAGCATCGAGAGTATGGCCACAAAGAGTTCCTCCATCTTCAAGCCCTAGAAGCATACAAATCGAACGCACAATGAGACCGAGACTCAGGAGACATAATCGGACGAAAGCAAACAAGACCGGCACTTTGCACTTATCATCTGATCACAAAGTCCCCCAAAAAGTCCATTCATTTATCAGATAACAAAACACAATCTGCTCTAACACTGCATTTTCGAGGGCACCATCGCGAATTCACAGCAGAAAAACACATCAACCAGAACTAAGGACAAACCAATTTCCAACCGTCAAATCCGATTCGAACAAAATCCCCCACTTCCTCAAACGAATTAACAGCAGTAACCAACCAGCGATCAATCAAACATGTCATTAGCACCATCCCACCGCGCGCGCGCGCTCAACGATGCAAAAACAACAAGTTTCGAGCTCAAAATTGAATTCGCAAATGCATGCATAGTTACCTGAACGAGCAGCTACCTCCTCCGACGATGGATCTGCAAGCCGCTCGCGGCGAGCAGGCGAGTACTTCAAGGGTTCTACAGGATTCCGATTCGATCTTCAAAACGAAGATATCGATTGATCGTGCTTCGTGAAATCGGAGAGGAACGCCCCAGGTTCAGCTGATCGGCGAGGGTGATCGTGGCGCTAAAATTCTGGATTGGTTTGATTGAATAGACAAATTCGTACGTCGAGATGATCGTCGTCGTTCCTTTTTCCCACCGCGAGCGATGCGTTGCAGTAAAACGACGAAGCGCCTTTTCTAACCTTACTGGAGCAAAACGCTTGTCGTTCGGATTCGGCTTTACAGAATACTGGATTCCGGATGTATTAAATTTCACAAAATTTATAAAAAACGGAAAAATTCGAGGTGGTTTTCCATTTTGTGGTTTATATGTAATTTAAAGGGTTATGTGAGATGTTCAACGGTGAAGGAAAAGTTTGGTATTCAAATTCGAAAAATTAGAGAAGGGCCAGAAAGTGAAAAAGAATATCACACCGGATGGCAAATACTCACCAAAGAGCTTTTTTGAATCAACCTTATATTTATTGAACACTCCTTCCCTACTCGCGCTAACATGTTTGTAGGGCTAGCAATTCGTATTAACGTGTCACAAACATGCTTATAATTAATATCAATTCGTATTGATCTAAAGTATCTTGATTTCGATTCAACATGTCAAGTCATGATTTAGATCAATTTGTGTCCACGTATAAGTTAGTGTTGTCCTATCATGCCATTTTCGGGTTTTTTCTATGATGTCGTAGCAAACGCGTTGTGTCTAGCATTGTTAATTCTAATTGTTTGTATCTTTTATCGATAATCGTAGTAATAATTGCATTCAAAAAATCATTTTAAGACATTAAAGTTCTTTGTTGTTGTAAATAATACGTTATACATTCTATGGTGGTTAGAAAAGAAGTAATAAATTTGACTTAGAGGGACGCGTTTGACTTGTGTGAGGTGATTAAAAACTATAATCTTTAGGGATAATGACACACAGTCCCTAACATTGGCCTAACGTGCAATATGATCCTTCAACTTTTAATTTATTCGATGTAAGTCCATAAACTTTAACCTAATATTCAACGTATTCAATAAACTTTTAATTTGTTCAATGCAGTATTTGAACTTTCAAGATAATGTTCAATGTATTCCAAAATTATACTAGAGACTCCATTAAACAATGTCATATAGTTCAAAACTACATTAAATATGTACAAAAAGTCATATAATTACATCCTGCAACTCGAGGTTATGTCGTGACCTTCATGATGGCCAGATCTATGCAATGTCGACATTCTAGATCTAAATGCATGACCCCCATTGCCACAGAGCCTCCAGATCCGAAGGCGACGATGGCCTTCTATAGCTGCCAAGTTTTGACGTTGTGACCGAGATCTCGGCGACCGTGGAGGAGCCGCTGAGCTCGAACGGTTTTAAGGCCGACGATGGTGGACTAGATCTGGTGCAGTGTCGAGGCCACCACTCGACTAGATTTGGAGGCTTGGCATCTAGTGCTGGTGTTCAAGGGTGACAGACATCTAGTCCGAGAGGTCCATGGCCAGTGGAACAGGAAATTTTTATTTTTATTTTTTAATTTCATTTCAGGTCAATAAAAACGTAAAAAATTGAAGCCACAAAATATTTCCTGCGGCTCCTTCTCTTCCAGACACAGCAAGAGCTAAAATAGCTCCTGCTGGTCTGCTACCGTTGGAGATAAATAGCACAAAAACGTATTTTTGACAACAAATAGCACAAAATTCAACAGTGACTTCAGACACTAATTAGATCTAAAATTCAATCACGTCCCGAAAAAGGAAAAAAAAGAGAGAAAAATCCAAGATGTGGGGATAGATATTTTTAGTGAATTCTCCAAGATTATCCGGAAAGCATCTCAGAGACGGCATGAACAATATCGAAGCTCATCGACACAAGCAAATCGACTCTGAAACTCAACTCTACTCATCCAAATTCAAGGAGGCAAAAGGGTTCTTGATGGAAGCAAAAGTAGCAGAAAACGCAAAGCGAGAGAGACAGAAAGAGAGAGACCTGAAACATCCAACCTTATTAAACAAACAACCCCAAACTAGTCCACCATCGATCACAAGCCATAAGCCCAACCCCCCTCATTCATCTCACCAAAAGCACCTCTTTTTTTTTTTGTCAGACTCTACTTAAGACGGAGATCTCGATAAAGCCAATTTCAGGCGTCCACGATCTCCGCGGAGTCGGCGGCGGCGAGGATGAGCTCCGGGTGGATGCTCCCGGCGTAGGATCCGTCCAGCGCGTTCGGCAATCCCAGGGACTTCAACGCGAGGTGAGCCGCCTTTTGGCCCGATATCATCATCGCTCCGAAGGTTGGTCCCTGACCCAAGTTAAACCATTCGTCCCGCATCAGTGCCCACAATCGAGAAAAGAGAGCTATTTCGCAACAAATGTTGGTATAATCCAATGTTCAAAGCGCAAACCACTAGCAGATATAGCAAAGCATTGACATGGAGAGAATGCGGAGTTAGCAACGGAGGGGGGGATTGAGAGCGCTCACCATTCTGGGAGCACCATCGATCTCGGCCACCTCCATCCCGGTCACGATCATCCCGGGCACGACCTCCCTGGTGAGCCCCACGATGGCGTCCTCGGCGGTGTTCATGTCGAGGGCCTTCATCCCCGGCACGGTGTCGATCATCCCGATGCTCTTCAGCCTCTTCACCCCGGTGGCCCCGAACGGCCCGTCGTGGCCGCACGAGCTCACCACCACCTTGGCCTCCATGACGTTGGGGTCCATGCACGACTGGGTGTCGTGGTTCATGGACACGAGGGCCCAGTTGGTGACCACGCCGCCGACCCGGTTGTTCTTGACGATCAGGTCCTCGGCGGCCACGGCGTTGAAGAGCTTCACGTTGGGCCTGGCCAGGAGCTTGCTCATGATGGTCGACGTGAAGAGCGCGGCGTGCTTGATCACCACGTAGTTGTCCTGCTCGTCGTACTCGATCTCGAGCTCGTCCAGGAAGCGGTGCGCCGGTTTCCGCACCACCTGCAAACGTCGCACCAGTTCAAAAATCATCTCTGCAGCGAAATGACTCGGCAAATCCAACGGTCATACTCGCCCGGTTCAGTCGGACTCGGTCCTCCGTTGACTGAGCGAAACATTTTCAGATGTATCCAGATCAAAGCGAAAACAAAACAAAGAAACGACCAAGAACTCGGAAAATATATTACATCACTCTCTCCTTCTGGAATCAAACATGCACGTACGTCTCCCAAATCCAAACCTCCTTACCATGGCGGAGAAGAGCTGGCCGCCGAGCCAAGCACCGCCGCCGGGGCTGACGGACTGCTCGATGATGGCGACCTGGACGTCGGGGTTCTTGCTGAGCTCGTAGGCGCAGGAGAGCCCCGCCGAGCCGGCACCGACGACGACGACGTCGGTGTCGGCGTAGGTGATCATGTCCATCATGTAGCGGCGGGTCATCTCGCGGGAGACGATGGACTCCTTGATGGGGTCGAACCGGAAGGCTTTCAGGTCGTAGGGCGGCGGCGGGGGCGGGGAGGAGGCGGCGGCGGACATGGAGACGCCGGAGTGGGGGGCGGACGACGACCTGGGGGCCGGGAGGCGGAGGGACTGGGCGGCGGCGGGGGCGAGAGGGGCGCCATGGAAGGAGGGGGAGGAGAGCTTGGGCTTGGAGGAGAGGGAGGAGGCGATGGTGGCGGCCATTGGGGAGAGCTCGCGAGCGGCGGCGGCTGCGGTGGTGGGAGGCGGGGCGGCCGGGGGGTATGTCGAGGGTTTTTCGCAGGTGGGGGAGAGGATGAGAGCGAAGGGGGGCGGCGAGGGTGGGGGAGTATATAAGGGAAGGGGGGCGGCGAGGAAAATATCGGAGACGGAGGGACCGGGGGGGACACGTGGAGGGGAGGAGGAGGATAGGAATTGAAGGGTCCAGAATGGGGGCAAGGTGGTGTCCATCTCTGCACCAAGTGGCGCCGCTGGGGTCATGAGCAGTGCATGCGAGGAAGACGATTCGCTCCCTTTTTCGTCCGTTTTTTCCATTTTCGCTTTTTTTTTTAAGAAAAAATTCCAAATAATGACCAAACTATCTTTATTTTTCCAAATAAGGATACGAAGGCGGCATTTTTCTTTGAGAGGGAAATAGCCAATTCAATCTTTTATTTAAAATAAAATTCACTACGAATCTTTATTTTAGAAAATGGCGGCACTTTATTTAAAATTTTCCCTTACTTTTTTTTTTTTCAAAACCGTTACATGTTATTTATATTTTAAATTTTTTTTTTTGGATTTTTGTCCCGAAATGTCTGGCTCGTTTGCTGATTCTAACGTAGGATTGGGGCACGGGTGGGGCCCACGCGCGATTGCCTTTCGGGGTGGCCTTTTGAGCAAAAGGGCGGGGATCCCGTTTGGCGTTTTCTGGATCTTGCTGGGGCCCACTGAAACGGACAGTGGTAAATTGGTAATTGGGAAGACGATGATAATATCTTCTTCCTTCCCTCTCCTTTCCTTTCCTTTCCTCTGCATTCGCATGCAGATATTTGTTGCGTGTTTTGTCCGGACGCGCTCGCGGCCACTTTTCGACAGATCTTTGGCGAGAGGATATGGTTCTTTGTTTTTTTCCCTTATCATCGTCCGGATGGAAACTGAGCAAAGCGCAGAGAAAATTGGAGAATCAAGCACTAGAGGAAGTAAATCGAATGCTTCTATTTACAGAGTTAGTACCTAAATACCACGTATACCGCTCCTAAGAGACAGTGAATACACACGGTGCGTACAAAGTAATTGCTAGACCTACAGTTGTATTCGGGGTGTGAAGCCAAAGCCAACCAACCATCCAGTGATCAATTGTTTCGTTTTATTTCCTTTATAGGCATCTGTCGTGCAAATTTACTTTATAAGCCCGAGACGTGACGAATGGGTGGGTTGGGTTTGGGAGGGTCTTTAATCTGGTTCGATCCAAATAAATTCATTTAACTTATATCGACACTTTTATTTTGTAAACAATTTAGAGGGACCTATACTCAACTCAACTCGGATCCAAATTCTAAATCTGACAAAAAAAATTAATAGGAACATCGATTGCTCATGTCATTGCCCATTGTGCCGTTGCCTCCCGTCGTCATCGCTGTCCGCTCCGCCAATTGCTGACGTCACTGGTCCTCCTAACTTGTTTCTTCGATTTGCGTCTTCTATTTGTGTTATCGGTCTTCTTGTGCAGTGATTTTCCTCGATTGTAAGCTTCTCTGTCCGGGTCTCCCAAAGGCGGTGTCTCGTCACTCCCTCTTTTGATT